TATATATATATATATATATATATATTTGATATCCCTAGGAAATGGCTTTTCTCTATTTCCATTTTTTTCCATTATTGTAAATCTCTGGAATATTAAAAAACTCCTGTCGTTTTCTGTTGATCTGTGTTTTGTTGTTGCTCTGCTATTCTAGCATGCCGTATCTGTGGTGTTTCCTCCTTCTTCTCGTTGTTCCTCTGTAGCGCTTGTGGCGAGTGGTGGCCTGTTGGTGGGGTCTGCCATGCTGACTGATGGATGTTTGTACACTGAAACCTATCTTAAGGACGAAAAGGATGTGGAGCAGCTCCTGCAGTACTTCTGGAGGCTCAAGTCAGGGGAGGGTTCCCCTTCTGAGGGTTCTCTGCATGCACCTAGCAGAGTTGCAGCCAAAGTGCTGGCTGCCTGCTTGCTACCAAACCAAGAGCGTGACTTAGTGCAGGTGTTCAAGATAGATGGTGAGGGCAGTTCACGGAAGAGAGTTGTTACAAACAAGAAACTGCAACACCCAACAGAATATGATTTGGAAGTATAGAAACCACAGATTACGCCCACAAAGAACAGTCACACTCGATTAGCTTTATGCAGCCCCTAAGCGTAGCAGATGTGAGCATGCTAACTCCACACACGGCAGTACGCACAGCCGTACAGGCACTTGTATGCAGCCACCCACATACAACGTTTCAGCATGCATGCGTGCTCACTACACACCCATGCATGCAAAGCCAGACACACATTACAGCATGCATTCTGTTATTGGAGGCAGGTCAATGTTAGCGCATTTTCTAGTGCTCATCCATGCGATGTTGTGTATCACAATGTTAATGAACTTTCTTTGGAGTTCTTAACAGAGATTTTGTGAGCACAAGGATGTAACTAACCCTCAATGACACTGGAAAACTGCGTATCTTAGCATCCGCACGAGTTGATGCGAAGCTGTTGCAAACTTCGTTTTGCCATTGTTGCATGCACATGATACGTTAAACACAAACAGTTGAATACACCCAAGAATATTTTTGGTTGCATGCGGCGCAGAGTTGGTAAAGGCAGGAGTGAAGCTTAAAGAAGCTGGAAGGAATGCTGTGGAGAAGGAAGCTATAGCAGCCCGTCTGGTGTCTCTGCAGCTCCAGGACGCGGCTGCGGAGTTACAATTGCTAAAGGAAACATATTGGCTGATGCTCGTAGATCCGATGACTCTGGAACAGGAGGTACAAACACAACAGAACACCCAGATACACAGGGGAGGCCAACAGCAAGGACAGAAGCAGCAGTAGCAGTAGCTGAGCTGCACTTGCTGCATGCTTTAGAGTTTGATTTGCTCTTGCAGGATTTGGATGAGAGACTGCACACGTACAAAGAAGTGCTTTGCAGCGGCATACAAGACAAACAGCGGGAACTGAAGGCGAGCTATCTGGGCCTTTTTTCTACAGCAGCAGGAACGACAACAACCGCAGGAACAGCAACATCGGCACCAGGGGAAGAAGAGGTGCCGTCCAGGGGCCGGCAGAATACGTTTTCCCTACTGCAGCCAGGAGATCGGCAACCGTCTGAAGAACTTGCAGCACTACTCAAGCAGTTGAGTGCAGATCGCCAGGCAGCAGAGCGACTATCTGCTTCCTTTCAGGAGGCCATCCACGCAATGAAGACCAGCAGTACCACCAGCACCAGCGGCGGCAACGGTAGCAGCAGCAGCAAGTGGGAGCGAGCCATGAAGCCAATGATAGAAGGGGTTGTGGGGGAGTTGATGCGTCTAGCGGCAGACAAGACCGAGGCTGAGAAGACACAGCTGCTGCATGAGGTGGTGCGGCTGGCGGGTCAGGCCCACGCGGAGGTGCAGGCATCAACCGAAGCGACTGGGCCTACCAGCAGCAGCAGTAGAGCAGCAGCAGTAAGAAGAAGGCAGAAGCAGCAGCAAGGAACGCAGCTCTTAGAACTTCTCCAAGACAGGTGCTTGCAAAGAGGCAAAATTGCAGCATCTGGGGCTGTGAGGCCAGCGGACCGCCTTGTGGTGTACGGATTAGAAGATGTAGAGGAAATGGTTGCCCCATTTTTTCTCCCTTCTCTCCGCAGCAGCCGCAGGAGTAGTAGTAATAGTAGTAGCAGCAGGAGCAGCAGGGAGGATGCGCTGATGATTGACAGGTCGCTGGATGTGGATTCTCCCATAGTGTTGGATATAGCAGCAAGAAAAGGGTCTCTTGAGGAGCAGAGACAATTTATTAATGCAGTGTGGTGGGCAGTGAAGAAGGAGACACTTCTTGCAGAGACGAATAAATCGTTCCGCTGTCCCCGTACACCTGAAGGAGACCACACACACACGGACGGGTATCCCTGCAACTGGGAGGAGCTACAGGAGACGATCCAGCTGCTCCTCAACAAGCTGCAGAGACAAGTATAACATACACAAAGCCACTAGGACGCAAAGACACAAATGCATCAATATATATTTTGTTGTTTTGTTGTTTTTTATATGTTGGTGTCTCCATCTGAAGCATCTGATTTTGTTTGCTCTGTGTGCACTGTTGCTGTTGCTGTTGTTGCTGCTGCTGAGATGTCAGTGTGTGCTGGTGTGTGTGGCTATGCTGGGGTGTCTGTACAGCTGGAGAGTCTGTGGGGAGAATTGGGGCCTTTCTTTACTGCGCGCATGCGGGCTTTTGGAGTTGTGGGGCTTGATATCGAGAGTGCAGCAGCCAATGCAGATTGCCGCATGGTGTATAATGAGCTGCAGCCACTCCAGGAGTTAGTGTGTGAGCAGCTACGGCCTTTAGGCGCAAACTTGGCGCTGCTGCTGCTGCTTCTGGCAGGAGCAGCGCTGATGCTGCTCCCCTGCTTCTGTTGCGTCTGGCGCGCAGCTGTGCAAAACAAATGGATGGTCAAAGACAAACTAAAAAAGCGAGAGGCACCAAATAGCAGACGCCACAGAGAAATTTCCCCCCCATGGGCACATACCGAACCAACGTGTATTAATCCGCCCAATGCAGCAGCAGCAGCAGCTGTCGCTGCTGCTGCTGCTGCTGCTGCCGCTGCCACCGGAGTTCCACAACAAACCATCCAGCAGCGCTACTACCACACAGACAAACCTCGCACCGTCCGAAACGAAGACTGGAGCTAATCCCCTCCCATGCCCTGCTGCTGCTGCTGCTGCACCTACTCTGGCTGCTGGGAAGAGTGGCTGTAGGCGTAGTCGTGGTGTTTGTTTTTTATGGTTCACGTCCTGTGCTTGTTTGGGGTCTTTCTTCGGCGTCTTATTATTTAATAAAGTGTTGTTTTGCTTTGAATATAAATAGGTTTGGGGCTGGATTAAATACCCCACTAGTTGTTGCATGCAATTTGTTATTTGGATGTGAGTTGTCGTCTCCGCCTTTCTCTGTGAGACGCCCTAGAAACCGACTGACTTAAGAGAGAGCCAAGCGATATCCAGCTGGAGCCAGCAGCTCCTTAAAGGGAGGCTGCAGCGCTGTGGTGTACGGGCAGCTCAAGAAGTGTAGCAACAGAGGCACCCCAACCTGCCCCTGCTTCTGTATGACTCTTCATAAAAGTGCTCACGCGGGAAGCCCCTGCCGTTTACCCCTTATTTAGCAACAGACAGAAAGCTCCATGGACACCCTAAACCCCCTGACTGCATGCACGCACTGCTACCTACTATGCTGTTAGTAAGCCGCTACGCACAGCCGCAGCCAACGTAAGGCTCACACACCTATGCCAATACAAATCGAGAAGTTTTCTTTCTTTCTCTCTCCCAAGTATTATATATGCATATCCTCTCTAGCTCGCCTTAAAAGCTGGTGCTGAGCCCAGAGAAGAGGAAGAGAGAGGTCAAAGACGGGCCAGTAAACCAACGCGATGTGAGTGTGAGGCAGTGCATGCAAGCAGCCGCCTTCAGTTTAAAAAGGGGAGCAAACTGCTGCAGCTGCTGTTACAGTTAAGTCTGCTGTTCCTGCGGGTGCTGCTGTTTGTAGTGGTGCTGCTACAGCAGATTCCGTTCGTGCATTTGCTGCTGCAAGTGCTGCCGTTGCTGCAGCAGGCGACTAAAACCTGGTCTTTAGCGACGGCATTAGCAGCAGAATACCTCTGTGTTTATCCCTTATGCTGCCTGAGTAGATGTCATTGAAAAGCAGCGGACCGAAGACAGGAGAGCCTCCCACGAGCTTGACTAGAGCGCGGGAGCATGCCGCTGTTACGGTGCTGCGCTGTTGTTCGTGCTGCCGCTGCCGCTGCTGCTGTGGTGAGCTGTCGTGCTCCCTTTTGCTGCAGAATAAAGGGCGTGAAAGCGAGAGGTTTTGTCTCGCAAGAGAGTGCGAGGAGGGGCCAACTCAAGCAGCTGTCCTTCTCCCACCACCCCGACGCGGTGGCATACAGCTGGTAGATGTTGCAGTCGGTGGGAGATAAGCAATACACTCCCGCGTCTGCATGCAGCCGAACAAGAAAAAGGGGTTTAAAAAGAAGGCAATATGGAAGAAAGGCAATTACTCAAGGAAGCAGCCGCACTGAACCCAGCAGATGGGTGAGGTGAACACAGACAGAAGAGGTCAACCAACATCCACGGAGGACGGCTTGTTTTAATTTCAAACAAATATAAAAGAGAACGAATAAAGACAATACATATGCGTAAGTAGACAGAACAACAACCATAAGACAAAGAAAAAGAAAACGGAAAAAGCACTGCACACGCCAAAAGATATGGAAAAGTTTACCTTAAGCACCGCTTTACGACGGGTATAAGAACTTCTTTCTCTAAGGAAGGATCCATGCAGCTGTTAGCTTCGTCGAGGCAGAGGACAGGAGCTTCCCTCAATACAGCTCTGCACAGGCACAGCAACTGCTTCTGTCCTAAAGACAGCCGCACACTCTGGCTGCTGCTGCTGATGCCTTTGGCGCCCCCGCTGCTGCGCTGCATCCCCCCTTCGCCTCCGCCTCCAAAGCGGTTTACAGACACCTGCCGCTGCTGCTCTTTCCCGGAAGCAGCAGAATCTGTTGAACCCAAAGCACGCGAACGGTGCTCGCGGCCATCTCCCCCCCCTAAAACTGCCGTACCTGAAAAACAAGCACAATGACACACGCATGCAACAGTTAACAGCAGCAGCAGCAGGAGGCGGTAGGGATGGCACTGGCGAACAGGCAGCTTCTGATGAGGATGCAGTTGCCTCAAAATAACAACTGCAGCAGCAGCAGCAGCGCGACGGACTGCTTTGAAGCCTGCGAGATCTTCTGACGCGGAATTCCAAGGCTGATGCTTCATCGACTGTGGCTAGCGGCGTATCTAACCCCTGTCCACACACACAGCACCAGCCGCAGAAGCAGCAGAACCATCAGGCAGCAGCAACTGACAGCGAAGACCTATCTCTCCGTTACAGGGAGCCCTCTCCCTCCCCCCACTGTTGTATAATATAGAGGCAGTTAAGCAGCATGGACATGGAAACAACTGAATGCAGGCTACGAAACACAAGACAGTCATTTCCTTACAACCACACGCGCATCCACGCTACGCATACAAGCATGCATGCATGCATGCATTGGATAGGTAGGAGAGGCGGGTGCTTCGAACCTGTGGCAGTGAACGAACGACTTTATCTAGACGGCAGAGTTGAAGTGCTTCGAAGAGTTCAGCATCGGTGTGTATTCCTGCTGGGTCTAAGTTGAATCGAATGCTGCCAGAGAAGAGTGTTGGACTCTGCGGGACGACTGCTAGTAGAGAGCGAAGAACATGTATAGGCAGGCGGTGTATATCCACCCCATCTATCTTTATACAACCACTAAACCCCACCATTCTACTCAATGCCAATAATATTGTACTCTTCCCTGCTCCTGTTCTACCCACGAAACCAACAACTTCCCCTGGATACACCGTCAAAGATACTCCCTTCAGCGCAGGCATGCCACCCGCGCTGCACGCGCATGCACAGCACAGACATATACATATATATTTGCACATATATTATGTGTATATATATTATGTATATATGTGCAAGACACTCGAGAAAGATACAGCCCAGCATCCAGTTCAACCGCCACCTCCCTGCGGTGTGCTGAGGGGTACAGACAGCCACTTTAAACCCTCCCCTTCGTGCTGCAGTGCATTGATACACCTATTGGAAGGGAGAAGATGCGCCTTAGCCATCTCAAACCAGAAGGGGTGAGGTGTACAGCCACCTCAGTGGGTTGGGCAACTAACCTGTAAGCCACCGTCACACTTTCAAACTCGATGCGGCCTCGTGTTTGAAATCCTAGAGGCACAGCAACAGGAAACAGCAGCGGCGCGCTGCTGCTGTCTTGCTGCTTCTGCTGCTGATCTGTACAAGAGCACCGCCTGCCTCCCACACTCGGATGGCCACAAGAAGGAGCGCCCAGAGACAGCAGCGTCTCGTACACCGCCAGCTTCGCTGCAGCAGCAGCAGCTGCTGCTGTTGAAGCATGCCGCGACGAACCCGGTCCCCTAGCAACAGGCTCTGGCCTTGCACAGCTGATCGCTACCAAGTTCTCCTCGGCGCATGCAGCGCAGCCTTGCGTCTGCTGCCGCTGCAGTAGTGGCAGCTGCTCTTCTTCTTTTGCATTAAGCGACAGAGAAGAAGCCTTGCTGTTCCTCCTCCAGAAATACGAGCTAAACCAAAATGATGCATTGCTGCCCTTTGTATCCCTTCCCTGGGACCACGGTCTTTCCGTTATTACATCATAGTGCGGGTCCTCTGCAGGCACCTGCAAGTAGCAGCAGCAGTAACAACATCAGCACCACCTTGAGATGGATTCTCAGTTGCTGCCCTGTCGTGTGTTTCCTCTTACTCTGCTGTTCAGTGTGGGGTGGCGTCTCTCCCCTCATGTCTTCTGTGTCTGCTTGTGCAGTAACATTAGCAGCACCAGTAACAGCAACAGCAACCGCGGACGTACCAGGAGGTAATCTCGGACCCGTTCCACTGCGACCATTTGCACCTCAAGACGGACAAATGTGGTGATTGTCTGCGTCAGCAGACGAACCAGCGGAGACACCGCGTATAAGCTCAAAGCCAGCAGAGCAGCAAACTCCCCTCGAACCTGCAACACCAACAGCAGCATCAACAGCAGCACCTGCAAATGCAGCACAAGTGGGGTCTCCCCTACACACACCTGCAACTGCAGCGAACTGAAGCATAGAAGAGACAAAAGAAAGAGATGAGGAGACAAAGAGGATACAAAGGGTAAGAGGAAACACTTTATCTTGTCTCTTAGCAGCAGCAGCAACGCACCTTCTCTAGCTGCTGAGGCCACAAATAAAGGGGCAGAGCAAAGACAGCAAGCAGCAGTAGCTGCAGCGTTGCTCCTATTAGCTGCAGCCGTAGAGACAGCCAAGCTTGTAAGCAAATGTTTTTATAAGAAATATTACCATATAACAAAAGGGCCTCTAAACAACTCCAGTAGTAACGACAATCTGCCCTAAAGAAATAAATAAACACACAAAGACACAAGACATATATTATAAATAAATAAAAGACATAGAGACAAAAAGATACAGAGACAGGGACACACAGCAAATGTAGTTATGCTTCCTTACCTGAAGGCGCGGAGGCAGCGGCCGCCTGCAACAGCACCTGCGAGGAGACAGTGCAGAGGCGAGCGAGCTATTGTCTCCAGTCTCTTGAGGGACCTGCAGCAACAACCACCCAACGCAAGTTAAACATCAGCAGCAGCAGCAAAGCTGAATACAACAGTGGCAGCAGCAGCATAAAATCCAGCACCAGATGGAGCAGCCGATGCAGCAGCAAATGCAACAGCAAATCCAGCAGCAGATGCAGCAGTTATTTGTACCTGATGGCTGCCCTAAGTTTAGCTGCAGTACGAAGGAGGAAAAACGCGAGTAAAGGAACAAAAAGAAGCAAAGAAGGAACAGAAAAACTCAATAGAGTTAATTTTGCCACCATTGCCACTGCAAAAAGGAAAAAAAACCAGACATACAAATATATATAAATATAAATATAAATATTATATATAT